CCCCCCCCCCCCCCCCCCCCCACACACACACACACTTTTCATCTGTTTATTTGTCTTACTTTCTCTCTGGCTCTAAATGGCCGTCATAGTGTCGGCATGCTTCTTTTTACCAAGCAAGTAAAGAATTGTCTCTTTTTGCCTGATTACAACAATGTACTATGCGCTTTATAATTAATGTCTATGGGGTCTGCTTGACTAACTCCAAAGAGTGTACTATCTTTGCTAACTCCTAGTCTGAGTTCATACATTTGTGTTCTTCGTCACAGGTATGGAGCTGGTGGGCCGGAAATGGCGTGTTCTGGCAGGCATTGCCATCCAGTATTACTGGTGTCTCGGCATGTTCATCGTGGACATAGTGGCGTTCGCCATCAGAGACTGGAAGACGCTACAGCTGGCCATGTCCTGCTACGCTGTCTGCTTTCTATCTGTTTGGTGGTAAGGCCGGTTTAGCACCATTTTGCTAACAGTAACAGGGATCATTGGTCATTGTGTAATTTTAACTTACTTCACTTACTTTTTGTGTCAAATCGTGCGCTCCATAATATACTGAATCAGACATTCAGACATACGTCAGAGGTCATGGTCTCAGAAAACTTGTGGGTTTTTTTTTGCAGCGTCTACGGTGTAATGGTTAGTCGCTTTGCTTATACACACAGAAGATGTGAGCTCGATTCACGAAAAGGTATTTTTGAAAACGAGTATTCTCGTCCGTCTTTCTGCCGTTATTCTGTATCGAACTTAATCCGGATTGGCCCTGGAAGCAATCCACCTTCTAACTGATCTAAATTTTGCCGATTGAGGTGTAAGGCATTACGGTAAAAGAACATGTCTCAAGGCTTATCAGGACTCTCATACGTCTGTCTCACATGCTTCCAAACTGGTTTCATGATCTCACAACACTATCATTGTCCCATAGCTGTTTCCCCCTCTCCCTCCATCCCCTCCACTCTTCTCCCTTACTACTTGTCTATCTCTCCCTCCCCACCCCCAGTCTGTCTCCCCCTCTACCCTCTCCATTTTTCTCCTTCACTCCCCGCTTATCTCCCCCTCCACCCCTCCACTCCATCCTCCCCCACTTCCACTTTATCTCTGTCTTTCTACCTCTCCTTTCCTCTCCTTTCCTCACCCACCCTTCACCCTCCATTCCCTCCTCACTCCCTTTCCCTTTTCCTGTATCTAGTATCTATATTTCCTTTCCTTTAGCTCAATTTATCCTGCCCTCACCCAACACAACCCCCCCCCCTCCCTTCCCCAAATTCTCAGGCTGGTCCCCGAATCTCCCCGATGGCTCATCAACAAAGGGCGTGTGGAGGAAGCCCGGGCTATCATGGAGCGAGTGGCCAAAGCCAACGGGAAAGAGCTGCCCAAAGACGCTATAGACGAGCACGAAGACGCTGGACAACCCAAGGGGAAACTCACAGACGTGTTTAAGTCAAAGACGTTGACCATCAGGATCATTGTTGTCTTTGTCAACTGGTGAGTTGCAGAGGTTCAAATCTACTGAAGGAGGTTTTTAAAGCCCACCCCCCGCCATCACCAGGTACTTTTATTTACGACGTGTTTAAGCCAAAGACATGGACCATCATAATTGCTGTAATTGTCAATTGGTGAGTGTCTAACAAGAGTATGGTATGGATTTTTCTTACAAATACAGAATATCCCCCAATATACTTCTATGTACGACGTGTTAAGTCAAACACGTCAACCATTGCCCCCCCCCCAAAAAAAAACGAGAAAAAAAACAACCAAACATAAACCTAAAAAAATAATCACTTGTGTACCTCAATCTGTGATGTGTAGTAAATTAAGGACGTTGACCATCAGGATACGTGTTGTCTTTGTAAGTTGGCGAGTAGCATGGGTTCACCTCCACCGACGGGCGTTTTTTAAAACCCCTTTACCTCCTTCTGTCCGAATGTACTTCTACGCATGACGTGTTTAATTCTAAGACGTTAACCACCAATGTACTTCCATGTGCGATGTATAGTAAGTAAAAGACGTCGACCATCAGGATAATTAATTATTGTTGTCTTTGTCAACTGGTGAATGATGTGGGCTCAACTCCACTGACAGACATTTTTAAAGCTCCACCCCCC